TAAGGATGGAAAGAAATCAATTTAAGAAAACATTTAGGAATAGGACTAGATATGACTTGGCATATAGAATACTCTATATTCTGTCCATATGAGAGCTACAGAGTGGCAAGAGGGCTGAAGGAGAACAGAGGTCAGCAGAAGAGAATGACAAGGAGAAGCCAGGGAGGTAAGAGGGAAAATGGAACTGAGGTGTCTTGGAAGTCTTTCTAGAGAAGGCATGTTCTGAGACCTCTTCTCCTCTCTCTCTCCCCTCTCTCAGCCAGCGCCATAATCATATATCTCTTCACTAATGACTAACATATTTACAGATTCAGTCCTAACCTCCCCTCCAACCATTTACTTACATCTTCACCTAAATGAAGCTATCTCAAAATAAAATGGCAAACTAGAACTTCTGATTTTGTCTTTCAAATTTAGACCTGTCCTTTCTTAAATTTTTCTTAAAGGACTCACTATCCATCCTGTTTCTCAAACCAAAAAACTTAGACATCATCCTTAACTTCTTTCATTCCCACACCCTCACACCCTCGCATACAATCCATCAGCAAATCAATTCTATCTACAAAACATCCCAAATCAGGCCATCTCTCTCCATCTCACTGCTACCTCCTCTGGCCAGAATATCTCCTGCACTAGCCTCCTACCTGGTCTCTTTGCTTCCTCTGTACTTGGCCCCATCCCTCATTCTGTGGCCGCTAAAGCAAACTGGAGTGTTTTTGCTTACACTTTCTAATGATTTTTCATAGCACTTGGAATAAAATGGAAAATTTTGTACCTTACTCTGCAAGATCTACTTCTCTCTTTCACCAGGCTCCAGATCTGCTTGCCTTTTTCCTGTTACTTGCACACCCAAGGCATGACTCTCATTTTTCACATTAGTTCCTGCTTTTACCAACAATCTTCTCTTCCAAGATCTTTGTATTACTGATCCCTTCTTGTCATTCCACTTCCAAGACTCAATGTTGCCTCCTCAGAAAGGCTTTCTACAATTAGCCAATCTAAGGTAGCCTCTCATTCTCTACCATATTGCCCTGTTTGATTTTAACATAACACTTGTTGGATATTTTCTGGTTTGTTTACATATATCTGTTTGCTGTCAAACTTTTCTGCCAAAATTTAAGCTTTAAGAGAGGACAAGCCTTGTTCACCAGGGACACTGAAGCATCCTCAGAGCCTGAGACTCCATAAAGGTTTCTTGAATAAACAAATGTTGCTAAAAGAATAAGTAAAATAAAGATCAAAAAATACCATTTGATATAGTGGACATAGAAGCCATTGCTGACTCTAGTAAAAGTAAGATTGAAGAGCTATTAGGATGTGAAAAAATGAAAATAGCAACCTAGACAATGCTTTCAAGAAATCTGGCTGTGACTGGGAGGAGTGAGATAGGGCAGTTACCTACAGAGAAGAAGGGGAGAAGGATTGATATGGAGACATGAGAAACTGAGGGGAAGACTTTTTAGTTGTTGTTTTAACAAAAAAAGACTAGAGCATATTTACATGGTGTTGGGGAAAATCTGAAAATGTTGGAAAGAGAAGAAATTAAAATTTTTCCTATTATGTGACAGGTAAATAAAGCCAGTTTGATAACATGCTCTCAAATCACTGGACCTGTTATCAGACTATGAAGACTACTATGAGCTTCCAAAAAGAAAACAATAACCAAACTCTTCATTTTTATGTGATTTTGCACACTTTAAAAAACTTTTGGTTTAAGGCCTTTGGTGTAAGTCACGCATATTCAAGCTCAGGAAGGTTTAGCGCCTTTGAGGGAGTAACATGCTCAATAGTAGGACTAACGTGAAATTAAAGAACTGAATTGTGAAATGTCCTAGTCAGAAAAGATACTGCTCCTCAATTAAGGATTGAAGCTTATTGTGGGGACCTTAAATAAACTGGAGGTATTTTATAAAAAGTCCTATAATTTGCCTCTTATACCATGTTCTGCATTTCAAAACTCAACTCTGGACTTACATACTACCTCTTATAAAAAAATGGCATCATACTCTTTAAAGGCATATCCTATTACTCATGTGAAAGTACCCATAGTGGAAATTCACTTGCTGGATGAAAACTATTATTGGTAAACAAACAAACTAATGAAGAAGGATCAGTCAACAAGCATTTATTGAGCAACTACTAAATGCAAACTCTATGCCAAGAGCTCTGGGGGATGTCAAAGAAATGGTAGAAATACTTCCTGGCTTGCAGGCATTTATAATCTAGCTTTCAGTTGGGTTAAGTCCTAAGAAATATACTGATAAATACAAACTTACAAGACATCTTACCAAAAGTGCTCAATAAATAATTAGGGTTTTTAGAAGGCAGAGGGAGGCCTGATCAGTCAGATAAATATAATCAATAGAGAAATAATGTTTATTTTGTAAGTTAGTAGACTGTCAGTAAACTTACCTGCTGAATATCCAGACTGGTGATATCCATATGTACAATAAGGGCTTCCACATTTTCCATTAACTTCTTATCTTGGAAATGAACGAGCAAGTCTTTCATTACCTGGGGTGTGATACCCACCAACTTATCACTTAAAATGTATGGCTCAAGGCACTCCAAAAACACTCCTTTGGCCACTGAATTCTCACTTAATTTATCATACATCTGGCTAAATAAGAGATCCCTATAACAGAAGGGGAAAAAATACTTTTAGGAACATTTCAAAGGTCCATTAAATTTAGTCTGATAAGTATATCTCTCATCCTTTCCCTATTTCAACTTACTCATGAGTTTATTAAAAACAGTAACAATATTTACATAGAGCTTTATATTACAAAAATCTTTTACATATACCATTTCATTAATCTTGTCAATACTTCTTTTACAAACAAGGAAAGTTGAATAAGTTAAATTGTTCGTTAAAAGTCACATTGCTACCAAGTAAGAGTCAGAATTTGAACCCAGCCTTCTGGCTTAAATCCTTCGCTCAGTCTATTATGACATATTGTTTCTTAAAGACAACACTTACATGGCAGGTAACAGGGAAGACATAATGAAGTAGAAAAAAAATCAAAAAGGACTACTCATGTTTATTCTTTCCTTCTTCCTGGTATCTAAATATTCCTAGCTGACCTACAGAGCCAATATGCTGCTTTATCTAACTCTAAGCCTTTGCTTCATAAAACGTTTGGGTAGTGATTATTGATGGAAAAAGGTGAAAAATGTTTAATATTTAAAATATATCCCTAGAAACAATTTTATTACAGAAAGAAAATTTTTTTTAAATTACTCTAAATGTCAATACTCTCAACAATGTTTTATTTATTTCATATTACTTCTGTAAATAGTCCATAAACAATTTGAGTTATACTTGGCACAGACATAATTTGGATTCTATTTTCATGCAACATTATATGATAAGCATTATTCAAAGTTGCTACATACTCTTTAATATTACCATTTTGTCTAACTTACAATGCTTCAATATGCTGAAAATAGTTACTTAACTATTCCTGTATAGTGTTGGATATGCCACTTGTTTCCACATTGAGTGATGCCACAATGAGCATCTACATATACATCCTTTCCCATTTTAGGGGCTTAATTCCTAAGTTATTCAACTTTCAGAACTTTATCATAAGTGAAAAGATATGAAAAATTTTCTGGCACTTGAAATATGTTACTAAATTATCTTCAAAAAGCATCATGACACCAATTTATATTGCCACTAGCAATGTATAATCATACCAGTTTCACCAGATAATTGTGAGTTTGTTTATCTCCCCCTGATAACTTAATAAGTGCAAATTAGACATCATTGTTTTCAATTCTTTGATGACTGGCAAAATTGAATATTTTCCATGTTTCCATTTATAAACTGTATTGCCTTGTATCATTTACTTATTTGTTCATTCCACATTTTTGAATACAAAAACTGTGCTAATTTTATTTGCCTACTAGGATTATTTATTCATTTTTTTCCTAAATGTATCATTTCTTTATAGTATATCATGTCAATTATGGAAAGCAGTAGATGGTATGGTCTTTCATAGCAAGTTCCACAAAAAGGTCAAGGAAGCTCTTGAAAGGAGTGGGATGGAGGCTTTGCCTTATTTGAAGTCCTGGAACGGGACAGGTGGAAAACAGATTGGC